ATAATAATAATAATAAGTTTAATACACAATACACTGTCCTCTATTTGCTAGGACTCTGTCATGAGCTCCCTCTGGTGGCACAATCTGAGAAATTTGCCATTAAAAGTGACACCTCCCTCATTCCTTTGAAAAACCCAGAAAAGAGATCCTGAGATCCTGCAAATGTGAAGATTTGTTCCTCCTTGATCTTTATATTTCCTTCCTTCCATAACACGTTATTTTCATGGGGAGGGGGGGGGAATTACGGTTCGCGGTTAACCAATATCTGATCCTTGCCAAAGTCACCTGATGTATTATTTTATCAGAGGCTAAATCCCATTTGGGGGGGTCTTCTAAACGCAGGAAGCGTTTATTCTTCCACTCTTCTACGCACTTTTCACTTGAGGCCGCTCCAGTGAATCTGTAAAGGGCGACTCTCTTTCAGAATTGCAGGTTGTGCAAATATAGTCTCTTAGATGGGTCAAATCAGGAAAAATGGCATGGAGACATTGGCTTGGACATAAGGAGAGTGAGTTGGCATCTTTGAAAAGATTTTTTTCTGCAATCTATCCTCGTGCCTTAATGATTTCTCAGACCCGTCCGGAAAAGTTGGCCAGACCTCACCAAACCTCGCCATCTGCTTCTCCAGGTGTTTGGCTCCAAGGGATGAGCTACCCAATGCATTGTGGGAAAATCCTCCAGGAATGCGCCAAGGAGAGCAACAAACCAGCCCAAGTGGTTTAGTGACCGGCTGCCTAGAGACGCAGTGTGGGCCTCCCTGGGAGAAACGTCCCGTCCTCGGACCTTTGCCCAGACGGGCTTTGTAGTGTTTTTCGACAACAGGACTTTTCCCCATCCACACCAGGAACGATGCCACAGAGCGTCTGCTTTCCCCTGATGGATTAAACAAAATTGAAGAAACAAAGCAAGGCTCTAGTCCTCATGTTCCTGGGGAAAATTAGGTTGAAATTAGGAAGGAGGGATACAGAGACCCAAGAATATCTATTCTGGGCATGGGAATTATGGTGCACCGTAATTATAAACGGGCCACTCTCATCTTCCATGACTCTAGCCCCTTTTGGCTGTGGAGGATGGAGTAGGATTAGGCCACTGGTTCCCCATCTCTAGACTTTGCGCGGATGGCTTGCAACCTGCCCCTTGTCCAAGCCGTCTTCCCCTCTTAAGATGCCACGAATAGTTTCCACCACTTAACTCAAGAGAGAGCTATAATTATTTGCTGCATTAAGGCTTGTTGATTCTCCTGGCAACATTTTGACCTGCCCAGCTGACAGCTGAGATTATCTTGTCAGTCACTTCCTTGTTAACTAGAGTTTTGATTTACAATGGCAATTTCCTCCGGGGAAACCTGGCTTAATAACCCACCTTGATACAGGAAGGTGTCTCCGCCCAGCGAGGGGCAAAACACGTTTATCTATCATCATTCCAGGGCTAAAGGCCAGATCTGATCTCCTTGAGCTCTCAAAGCAAAAAAACACATTGGTCTCACCTGCTTTCAAGGAATTGGCTCCTTTTACGTCGTGCAACCCTAAAACGATTAAGGGGAAAAGAAAAAAAAATGCTTTCTTAGAGATACAGGCAAGCCAGCTTCTCCGGTCTATGACATCACTGGTTTCCAACGTTTGAGCTGGAAAGGCCAATTTTTTTCTTCTCTGTTTAACAACGTGACACCAGCCATGCACAGAAGGGGCATTTCCGGAGCCTGGGAAAGGGAATGCCGGAGTTTGCAAAATGCACGAAAACACGAGGCCGGAAAAGAACATGCGTTATTTTTTTCAAAAGCCCAAGATTGACGGGGATGAGTGATGGACAGAATGGCCATGTTTCATTTGGAAAGGGGTGGGGGGAAACTTAAGGGGCACCTGCAAGATTCGCGGCATGGAAATTCAAGAAATTCGCAGTTTTCTGCATCGGGGACAAGGCGACCCCTGGTGTCTGCCTCTGGAACTGCAGATGGGCTGAGAAGGTTTTCAGCGAAATCAAAATTGAGGGGATGGCCTGAGGAGCGGGGGGGGGG